GAAAAACTCTGAATTTCGAGGGAAAAAAGCAGGATTCTAAGATTTTGAGAAAAAGTCTACATTTTTTTGATTTTGAGAAACAATTCAGATTATTTTGAAAAAAAAAAGGCAGATTTTTTTTTTTAAATCATAATTCTTGAGATTTTGATAAAAGTCAGATTTTTTTTTTAAATAAGTCAGAAATTTGAGAAAAAAGTAAAGAATTTGAAAAAAGCTCAAATAAAAATAAATAATCAAAATCTCTAGAAAAAGTCAACATTTTCTGAATTTCAAAATAAAGTCAGTTGTTAGATTTTTGTAAAAAGTCTGAATTCGGCAACTTTAACAATATCTTTTCATTTCAGACAAGATTTATAAAACAACAACAAAAGTACAATGTTATATAAAATAAAAGATAAGGAATTCACACATTTGTGTCAAAAGTCACTTCATAAAAAATATAATAAAAAAAGTCAGATTTTACACCGATTCATCAAAATGAGTGAACTTCAAATTATTATCACTTTATTAAAGTAGAACAAATAGAAAACAGTCACTTCATAATAAAAAAAGTAAATACTTTTTTTTAATTAAAAGGTCAGGATTTTTCACATTAATGTGGAAATAAGAAATATGGATTTTAGTGATTAAGAAATTAGAAACATTTATGTCCTCTATCACTTGATAAAATAATATATAATTTAATAAAAAAGAAGATTTTACTCAAATTACTCAACTACACTTTAGAGTTTTTTTTAAGTATAAGATTTTACTCAGAATATCTTTAACATTGATGTATAAATGGTTACTCCATAAAAAAAAGAGACAGATTTAATCAATAATATAAAATATTTGACAGGTTGAGGTTTAAAGCTGTGACTCACGTTGCTGGCTGCAGCTGGGATGACCTCTGCCTCCTGAAGGTCATGTGTCTGCAGGTCGTGTGTCTGAAGGTCGTGTGTCTGAAGGTCGTGTGTCTGCAGGTCGTGAGTCTGACGGTCATGTGTCTGCAGGTCTGTGATGTCTGAAGGTCGTGTGTCTGAAGGTCGTGAGTCTGAAGGTCGTGAGTCTGAAGGTCGTGAGTCAGCAGGTGTTTCCTCAGCAGGCAGGGTCTGCTGAAGCTGCGGCTGCAGAGCGTGCATTGGTGTGTTTTAGTGTAATTGGTGGCGTGCACCCTCAGGTGCTTGCGGAGGGCGCCGGCTGTGGGGAAGTCCTTCCCGCAGACGGAGCAGCTGCTGCCCTCTCTGTGTTGCCACTGGTGCTCTTTGAGCGACGCCCGGGAAGGGTAGGTCTTGGGGCAGAGCGTGCAGCAGAAAGGCCTCTCTCCGGTGTGCGTGCGCTCGTGCTCCAGGAGGTACCGGCGGCGGAAGAAGCCGTGGCCGCAGGTGGAGCAGCGGTGCGGGCGCTCCCCGCTGTGCTGCATCCGGTGGCGCGCCAGGCAGCCGTACAAGCGGAAGCAGGCGTCGCATTCATCGCAGGAGTACGGCTTCTCCCCGGTGTGAACGCGCTTGTGATGAGCGAGGCTGGTCTTATTGGCGAAACTCCTCCCGCACACGGAGCAGCCGTGCGGTTTCTCCCCGGTGTGCATGGTCATGTGATCCGCCAGCCGAGAGGGCCGGCAGAACATGCGGCTGCATACCAAACATTTGTGCACGAGTTTGGGGGGAGGGCGTCTCTTTTTGGTGGTCTTGGTGTCTGCAGGAAATGACTGACATTAATCACCTGCTGCCCACTCACTCAACATGCATATTGATTATTGGTGTAGCGCTGACCTTCAGCAGGAGGCTCCTCCTCCTCATCATCATCCTCTCCTCGTGGTTCTGCTGTCCCCCCATTCATCTCCTCGTGCTCTGCTCCTGAAGCCGGACCTCTCCTCACGCCTGAGACATTCAAAGGTAAATCAGATTGAAATAGCAAAGTCCTGTCGAGTCACGGCTGACTGAATCTGACGGAAATTAGTTTAAAACAGTTTCAGTTTTGTACAATAAATAACGCTTTATTATTGTATAAATCCCTTTAGTTACTTCACAGATGTGGATGAAAGATGTGAAATCTAATCAAGTGTTAAATCAGACTTTAGTTCCACCTGGAGTAAATCCACAAGCTACCCTGCAGTATACAAAGTCATTCAAACTAGCTGCACCTTTACCAGCTTTGAGAACACTTTCATGATCAATCATTATAAAACATATCATATACAGTGGGGCAAAAAAGTATTTAGTCAGCCACCAATTGTGCAAGTTCTCCCACTTAAAAAGATGAGAGGCCTGTAATTTTCATCCTAGGTATACCTCAACTATGAGAGACAGAATGGGGGGAAAGAATCCAGGAAATCACATTGTAGG